CGGGGCGAATTTCGCACTGGGGTACTCAAAATTTGAAGAATTTAAGACGTTTCCATGAGTTTTGAAGGTATGGATAAGTTCTAAAAATCCGGTTCTCCTTATCTGGGCCATTAACTCCATACGGTCCAAGAAAGCTGGCACACTACCTTTAAAACGGTTTTTCACAACCTTGACATTATAGGTAGGTACTGAATAATTAGAGGTGTTTTTACAAGTAAATTCTGATACCTTTCTCTCTCTATCTCTCTCTAATATATATATATATATATATATATATATATATATAACATGTGTAAATTGCAGAGCGTCCTTGGCATGTTTTGCAACATCACAGGCGGAGCTAGAGGCTTGCAACTATCCCTGTGTAAACGCGGCTGTTATCCGCGGCTGCCAGCAAGCCACGCGGGCCGCCACTCAGGCGAACGGTGCACACAGGGCCGATCGCCAGGTCTAGCACGACATGGGCAAAAAAATCGAACTTTGTGGATGTGCAATGAAACCTATACCAATTTGTTCAGAAATGATCATACTACACTGCTGTGGTCTTTGTTTTCCAACACAATTGCTATTTCATGGCGAAAACTCAGCTTAAACACGAACTTCGGAATCGTTTGGACCGAACTCGTCCCCCGCACTCTTCGACAACGTATCTTTGATCCGCGAAAACAATCACAATTTGAGGAGGAATTCCACATTTATATACATCAAACGATAGCTCCGGGTCTGCAGAATACACATAACCACATCAAAATGGCGAACTCTTACTTGGTTATGATGTATTGGCACCGCAAAGATTTAAAGACGAAAATATAATTTCACATAATTGATGTCACACACAAATAGACTTTTAAAAAAAGTACCGCAGAGTACCGCTTCGAAAATCTCGCTACATGTCAATGATTCATTGCACTACAAGATCCAACAGTCATTTTCTGCGACTTTTTGCGACTTTGGATGTAGCAGCCAAACATCAACCCGCGCCGGACCGGTGCTCGGTGTCAAATGCGCCGAGCCGGGAGGTGTTGATTGAACACTCCCCTTCTAACTCGGCTCTTGGGCCACATAGCGACACGTAGTAAGTGGCATTCGAAAGAGCGCCCGAAATCCCAGATGGAGTAATTAGTCATTTCTAGGTCAGGTCAAAGGTCACGTCACCAGAGGTCATCAAAGGTAAAATGTTGCATTTATCAACACTTATCGAAAACCGGCTCTTACCTCGGGGACCAATAGAGCTACATCGTCGCGGAAAAGTGCATTCAATTGCTCTTTTAGCGGTCTTTCTGAAATAAGCCCTCAGATTTGGCTTAACCCTCGCTCCTAGTGGTGTTTTTCCAGCCGCGAACGTATAGAAGGGGTCCGCCGTTTCGCCCTTCGACCCCCGCCGTTTCGCCCCTGATCAAGCTAGAGCTTCGCGGAAAAGACGAGCGTGTTGCCCGTGACAAGAGGAAGCTGATGATACCCAATTGTAAGGTCCTAGGTCATCGGTTGACCTTCCAGGTCAGGTCAATGACCCAAAAGTCGGGAAAATCGGGACCTGTTAGAACGTCGTAAAGGGTGGCTGCTATGGGTTTTTTGGGTGCTGATAACGAATATTATATTATTTACGAGCATAGATGATGTCTTCATACATTAAGGCCAGGTCGGGTCAGGTCAGGTCAGGTCAACTAGTAAGGGTTTTGCCGAGTATTTGCAGTAGGTGGCAACCGCCTCTGACAGCTTTGTAACATGTTACGAAGGCACCAAAACTACTTCGTAAATGTTCAAATGGTTGCTAGATTCGAATTCAGCTAAAAAAACTAGCCTAGAAACATGTAAAACTCGAAAAAGTGAACCAAGGTCATCAAAGGTCAATGACCTTACCTGACCTTCTGGTGACCTTGACACCCACCCTAATGCATGGGAGCAACATAATATCCCATGTTTGAACGCTTTAAACCCAGAAAAGACTGCAAACCCGCGGCTAATGCGAGCCCACATACGCTGAATCGCGATTCCGGCCAAACATGGTCTCGAAAGAAGGTCACAGGTCAAAGATCATTAAGGTCAGGGTCATGAAATTTTCAGGATAGCTGTAAAAGTAGTCGTCGCGAGGGTACTGAAAGTTTCGTTGCGATCGGCCGCTTTTTACGCGAATTACTCGCGAAAAACCAAGGGTTCCGTTCGAAGATTCAGGCCCTGTCGCGCTAGAATGGCATATCGGCCCACTGTGCGGTGGCTCGCGCCCTGACCTCGCCTGAGGGGCCGTGACGTCAGTGTCACCGGCCGGCGTTCAGAGCCAGCCGGCCGAGCCGCAGTCTACGCGGCGCGAGCGAGCAGTGAGGGCCGGCGGCGGGCGCGGCTGAGATAGCTGGAAGATGAAAGATAGCGCCAGTTGTCTGCGTTGATGCGATTGTTGCTTTGACTGGTAAGTCAAAGTACCATTTACGAGTAGCATTTGCAAGATTGTGCCTTGTAATATCGTGCGGTCTAGGCTATAGTTCATTGTAGCTCTAGCCTCTAACCCTCGCCCGCACATGCCATTTTCCCATCCTAGAACGCACATGGGGGGGGGGGGGTGGTTGCCACCCCCCCCCCGCGCCATTTCGTCCCTGTTGGAGATAGAGCTTAGCAGTAAAGACCAAAAAGATTCTTTGGGAAGAGACGAATCCAATGATACCCAGTTTTACCTTCTCAGGTCAGTCATTGACCTTCCAGGTCAGGTCAAACTAAAAAATATTGCTGTTTTAGGTCACCGTTGGATATCAAGTGCGCTGCTTATCAAATACCGATGACGATGCTGTTTTCTGGTGCCAAGCCAGCTAGAACCTCTTTGTCACACTATCCGACCAGAATTTTGCTGCTGAGGTCATTTCAGGTCAAGTTAGGTCAAGGTCAATTACATGTGTTTGTATGTCTGTGTGTGTCTGTGTGTATACTGATGTGTGCACCGATTGTTTTTGGGTCCATATCACATGAAATCATGATCTGAGAAGCTTTTACAAAAAATGCAGTCAAAAAACTTCACAAAAAGTAAATTCAGCTTGCCTAAAACGCAATTATCTTAGATGACCTAGGTTGACCTTGACCCTGACCTTGACCCCTGTACATCGTCGAACAACATGTTCCATGATAGGTGGGAGGTAAGACTGACAAAAAAGGCCGAAATCAGGGTGTCAAAAGCTCACAAGGCCCATGGCAAACGCAAGATGTTGAGAATTGGCCATTTGGGTCATGACATGACCTGAAAAACAAGGTCATATCTCCTAAACCAAAAATCACAGAAACTTGAAATTTTCAGTGGACATCAAGAAAGGATAGACGAGCAGCTATACGAAAAATCAGCCTTCGCTCTAAAAATGTTGAGTGGAGAGCAGAAAGACTGCCTGGGGGGGTGGCAACCACCCCCCCCCCCATGTGCGGGCGAGGGCTAAGGTGTTGACATGTTTGATCTAGCCTGTCGCACTGTTACCGAAAGTGGTGCAGGTATTTTTGTGATTTTTTCATGAATTGAATGTCTGATTTTCCCTCATGTCTTCCCGCAGACGTCCTGCAACTCGTCAGCGCGCCTTGTGGCAGGCCTACTGTCGGCAATGCAGTAGCGAAGTGGCTGTCTGGAAGCTGCGACCGGAACGGGGGGTGCGCAGACCGTCTAGTCAAGCACTGCCAGCTGCCTATGGACATCGAGGCCGCAAATGAGCCGGTGGCTAACGGTCCGCCGAGTGATCCTCATCCTCCCAGCGGGGGTTAGTGAAGAAGTGAACTTCCACCAGTTCTGGCGTGCTAGCGGCTAGCGCCAGAGCCGGTAGAACCCAATTCCGTCCCACGCCCCCATGGGGGCGCCCCTGGGCCCCATGCCCCATCACCGATGCCGCCGCCGTCGTTTTTTTTTTTGTAAATTGACCTGTGTGATGTATTGAAATATACACTTCTTACATGCCTTTTTTTACAAGTCTAGAGAACGGGAAGAGAGCATCGGAAACACATTCTGAGTATGTTGCGAACACGTTGAGAGGGCGTTGCGAAAATGTTTAGGACGTTTACTCGGGGTCGCAGGGACAGCAATACGAAGTAGCGACAGCGTGGTGCGCACGTGATAAAAACGTCGCAGAGACGTTGCCAAAGCGTTCTATACTCCTTGTAGTCACGTTGCGGAAACGTGGTGACAACGTTCCAGAAACACTGTTGGTACGTTACAGAAAACATTTCATAACGTTGGCGGGACGTTGTAAGAACAGTTTTGGGACGTCACGGCCACGTTACAGAGACGTTGTGATGACATTCAAATGCATGGTCGGATGACGTTGTCACGCCGTTGTCTGGAGTCTACAAAATTACGTTGTCACAACGATAAATCGGGACGTTGTGGTAACCATTTGACAACGTTTAAACGACGTTGTAACAACGGCAAATTGTTAGCTGGGTAGCCTCTAGAGGGCAAAAACTGTAAAAATAGCAGTTTTCACGAAAACTGTTTTTCGGCAATAACTTTTGACTCAAGAGTGCCACGACATTACTTTTGGCAGCATCATGTTCCTCTCGTCGAGACGCGTCGAATGAGCTATTTGTTGACATTGAAAGGTCATTATGAAAATTTGACCTCAGGTCAAGGTCGACTGATATGCAGCCTGACCGAAAAGGGTCATGTTGCATATCAGTCGATCCGTATCGTCAATATGAATACATCTGACGAATTTTCATCGCTCTAGCACGTCTTTATCAAAAGTAATACAAAAAAAACTGCTAGTGACCGTTCATGACCTGAGATGACCTATGGGGCACACAGAGGTTGTCACAGGTGCATTTTTCCGATTCAGTATGTCATGGTTACCTGAGAACCGATGTTTGAGAGGGTTGCTGTCGTGGGTACGGAAATAGCCCAGGCGGTGCCACCGTGCAGCCAGTTATACGAAAGCAAGAACCAAGGAATGTTTTTTAGGAAGCTTTTGGAAAGCACACCCACACACACACCACATACACAAGTAGGTAAAATTTGTCAATGGTTTGCTCTAATATGCGGACCTGACGTTGATTGGCTTGTATCCTCATCTCTCAATACATTTTCTTGTGACGTCATAAGACCTTTCGTTTGGAGTGAATGTATCTGTTAATTGATACTCGTATATTCGAAACCTTGACAACAACAATCGTGTGTGTTTCGCCCCTTTTGGTGGTGGCTCGTGAAAAATATTATTTTCATCCGAGTTTATGTGCTTTCCGGCTTGATTGACATTACTATGATATGTGAAATTCGTTGGGTAACGTAACTGGTCAAAGGAACATTTATTTTTGCTTTCATTCAAGTTATATAAAGCTCTTAAGAAGGGAAAATGGAAGAACAGGCTGTAAATGGTTACCAGCCTCAGATGGGGCTGAATGGGCATGTAAGTAATGGAAATCCTTCTTTTATTAGCTGTTTGAAGCTTTGATCATTTCAAGTTACATTTTTACCGATGATCCAGGTTGCAGTCAAAACTCCCATGTTCAATTTTTGCTTATAATGAAGAGCCACTTTATGGCCTTGATTGTTTCCATCAATTTTTTCATATTTTAATTTTCTTTTGCAAACTTTTTGAAAGGTTAGAGAGTATTGCTTATGTTCTTAAGGTAAAGCTTAAGAGTATTATTACTGCTTCATCTTCCAGGCCTCTCCACAATTGAATAGCTAAGGTGCACTGACCGGGGAAAATTAGCTTACAGGCTACTGCATTATGTTTCTACTTAATATGGGTGTAATTCAGGCAGTTTATGACAAAAATGGAGGGTGGTATTTGTTACTTCAAATGACATTCAGGGTTTTCTGTACCTTGTTTCTATTTTAAGTTTAATTTGACTTGTATGTACTGTTGAGTGCTGATTTAAAATGTGATTTATGTAAATTTTGTAACTTTTTTGTACTAGTATGAGTTGACCCCTATTACTTACCTACAAATATATATTTATTCTATGCAGTATATTTTTCAGGATGCCTCTTGCTTAACAAAATTGCATAATTTTCAATCATACGCCACTCAGGTTATGGAGATTTATGGCATCTGAGTTGACAATACGTTTATGAATATTGACTGGTTTATGATGTTTCATTTGATCATCCATGATTTGTGATAGTGTTTGCTTTTGATATAGCACTATGTATAGTTCGTTTTTTTTTTTCAAAAGGACGCTGGCTCCAAGTATGTTTTTCGAACAAGCACGTGTTTTAGCGGGCAGAACGAGCAAAAACTGAACCTGAGAAAATCGAACGTCGACTAATTTTAACATGTGATTTCTTCCCCATAATTTCCATATGTGCGTTTTGGAACCAGATAGGAGAACAGTGGTGACGTCATGCTGTCGAACATGTATTGCAGTGTAACGTATAACTTTCATGGACGGAATCGCTCACTCGATTATAAGGTCGGCATCAGTGAAAAACTAAGTTTCACCCAAACTCGTTGACACTTGTCCCATTGCACGGACATTTGGGTGCCTGCTGCCACCAGTGACGTAATCATAGCATGTTCATTTTTAAGCAACAATTTCCAGCTACTTACCGTGCACAATTTGAAATCGATTATTTTTTCGGTAAGAAATTCTTGACCAGCCACTGAAGCTGCCAAAACTCACGTGAGAGCTTCGATATTGAACTTTGAGCCAGCGTCCTTTTGAAAATAAACGAACTATAATAGTTAAAGCAATCACTGTTGTGTTATGAAGAGAGTCTTTATGCATGTTTAGTTTTGTTGCTATCATGGAATTTCTATGTCAGTCCTCCATCTCTGGAAAAAGATATCTCTTAAGACTATTAGTTTGGTTCCCAGTGCACACATACATGACTTGAGGATGAGTCTCTAATTTTTCATGGACACTGAGGATAAGATAATACAGCATGGTCATAATGTAGAATGTCTTATACAGTGTGCTGTACTCAAGGTAGGTGCAGGCCTTCCAATTTCACCTTTCTGGTGAGTGAAGCAGATGTTTTTAAGGAGGACCCTGAAAGGTTACATGATACAAATTGCAACCAGACATATACCTCATAAGCAATGTATGTTGAGGAAAAGCTGGATTAGTTTATGTGAGGTTTGATTGTATTTGGTTGAGATTTATAGGTACTCTCCTTTGAATTTACCCAATGGAAATATCAAGCATCACATTGTTTTATAACAGGCAACAGTTTATGTCAAAGTAATGAATGTCATTATATTTTGCATTATTTAATGGATGTTAATGAGTGAATTAGATTTATTTTGCTCTCTTATTGAGTCAGTTCACTTAGGTATTATTTCTATATGTTCTGGCTTTTTCATATTCCCAGCATTGAGCGTATTTATGTACCAGTCAACAATTTTATTGAACAAGATACAGAATTGGTGAAATAGCCTTTCAGAGTGATTGACTTACACATAGCATCCTGCATCAAGTTCATTTTATACTGACTCAGGTTATCTAAAATTCTAGCCATCCTGGCTGGTGATCTAACCATCAATATTTGCTTTTGTCCCACCAGCTGGAGCCCACCAAACTGCTGCGGCTGAAGGTCATTTCGGGCCACAACCTGGCCAAGAAGGACATCTTTGGCGCCAGCGACCCGTACGTGCGGATCGACCTGATCCGGGGTGACGGCGACGACGAGGAGGTGCTGGATGCCGTGCTCACCAAGACTAAGAGGAGGGTAGGTCTCAGAAGGGGCAGGAGCGTCCGCCAGTTGGATATCTCGGGAAGGGAGAGACTTGCTGATGTGCAAATATTTTAGGTATGTTGTCCGGAGTTTCCAGTCATTAAAAGATGATGACACGGTCAGGTCACTGTTTGAACACAGCTATGGCCTAAAATGTTGACATGCGGTCATTTTTTGCTTGGAGATGTTTGTCTTGGAAATGGCGAACGGCCCTAATGTCTGCTTCCCGCCCCCGACAGTGATGTGCCTGACGGGTATGTACCCCTGCCTTCCCTGTGACGACAGACGCTGAACCCGGTATGGAACCAGGAGTTTCTGTTCCGTGTGAAGCCGGCCGAGCACAGGCTGGTGCTCGAGGTGTACGACGAAAACCGACTGACGAGGGACGACTTCCTGGGCCGCATCGAGCTGCCGCTGGCCAACCTGCCCAGTCAGCGCGAGGGACGCACCATCTCTGAGAAAAACTACGTGCTCCGACCGCGCAGGTATGTCGGGGACGCAGCCTGTGCTCCTCCCGCGGCTCTGGCTGTGTCGGTATGCATACTATTCAACCTGTCCGAAATATCTATGATCAATAAGCTAGAGAGCCTGACTTTGTCGATATACTCGCAGATTTATGTGAGGCTGATTTACTTTCCGGGGAAGTATCGTTAGATTTATTGAATTCCAATCACGTACGCAATCGGTGAATGGATGGTTCACCTACTAACTACTCACTTTAGCGCTTATTGCTTCTGTTTTTCGTATGCTGAGTTGATATTTTTAGGGTTTGTATTTTCCCATATCAGCTTATTTTTTAAAGTTGAAAGTCAGGTAAGTCCTCCATTCTCGATTCTGCGAGCGACATTCGACAGTGAGGCCTTCCTCTCTCGTAGTTAGCGACAATTTCCACCAAGCCCCCAAACCCCACCATCTTCCCGTCCCGTGCGTTGTCATTGAGTCAGCGCGTGCTGTGGCACAGATCAGCCGTTCCCTCTGCGTGGTTTGGTTGGATATGACCGTGTGGCGGGTTTGTGGATCGAGCCTGAGACAGCCGCCCCCGATGAGTATTCATGTGCGCGCGTTTCCGGCCAGTGGTGGCAGCAGGTGCGTTTTGGAGCCGAGTGCGACGCTGAGACCATCGAACCTGGTTTGTGATATCCTCTCCGTGTTTGCGCACAGTGTGGGACGGGTAGCTGAGAGGCCAGTCAGAGCGCAGCTGACCGCGCATGACTGTGCCGGAAGAGTGGGAGGGCGTGGGTAAGGACTAAGTGGGTATCGCTGGGTGATTGGCCTATCCGTTGGTGGGGTCGGGTTGGCGAATATTGCGGATCTATGTAGCCCGGATATGAAGTTTGGGTCGGGATATTTCGGATCCAGACGGTACCCTGCACAGTATATTATGCACGAATCAACTTTGTTGACGTGTGTATTATCGCGTATTTGCGATAGTTTTGCCTGTAAACTACGATAAGGGGACTACTATCGCGCTTTTCGCCACCGATTTAGACCGGGCTATCAACTGACCCACCCACGCGTCTGTAGGGAGAAGCAGAGCTGTGTCACCACCTGAGTTGCGGGTTGAGCTGACTGTTTCTTGGTTAACGGGCTTGGTGACCATAAGGTGAGCTGGATAAGACGAGTGTTGATCGGGTAGGTAACTCCACTCACTCCGACATTGACTCCTGCTGCCGCCCGCCCACTGTGATGTATGCCGTGCGGCGTGCCGGCTCGTGCCGTGCTGCGGGACTCGGCTGCCCTCCCAGCTGTGTGCCTGTTCCCGTGCCGGTGGTGGTTCCATGGCGCCTCTCTGGAGCAGCGCCCACCTGCTATGCTGCTGGCGGTAAATAGGGTTGGTATCCCTCGAGCAGGGACACTGCCGTGTGCCTACAGTGGCCGGGCGTCTTGCTCGGTCTATTCTGACGACTTGTGTGTTTCCTTGCCAACGTATTTGTTTACGTAAGGGAAGTCGCTGCGTAGTGTGCTCATGACGAGATAGCTCACATCGGACAGATTACTCACAGTCGACCGCTACGTGACAGTGGTTAATTCAACCGTCATATTATGTAAGTTGTTGTTAATGATGAGGATGACGTATCCGTGTTGGCTCAGTGTAATGAATGTCCTCCACCATCGATCCTTATTCTAAATATGCTACCAATCCCTCGGTAACACCCATTCGGCGTAGTGTACGTCGGCCCCTCGTTGAGTCACCTTGTCTCTTGGGATTTGGGATCCGTAGCTTCTTGACTCGTTTGGCTTCATGGCCGGGTGTGAGTGGGAGCAACGGTGACCTTAGCTTATGGTGTGCACGGCGATATTGAGAAAGAGGAGGGAAAAAACAAATAAAGTGAGAGATGAAGGGGAGGAGATGTGTTCCTTGGGGAAACCCGCCCGCTACCTCGCCCGCCTGCCGCTGAGCCCAGCTCGTTTTATGTTTGGCCGGGAGAGGGCCGTCCATCTCAGGGTGCAGCGAGGCCACGGTGCGCCCAAGGGCGGCGCCTGGCGCTGTGGTGTGCAGCGGAGTACCGATTGGACGGGTTTGTACCCGCGGTTGGTTAGTCGGGGGATAGGCTTTGTTAGGGGTGGTTTTATATCAACATGCTGCCTGCCTGCTGCGTGTCTCGTCTCCTCGCTAGTAAAATTTACGCGAGATATGCAGCTCACCGATGAGAGGCCGAGAAACGCCAGCAAGAAGTACCTTCCATTTATGGGAAGACCGGTAGCTGCTTATAAAACCGCACACAACAGCACTCTGGTCTTGTCGGTCTCCGCGATCGGTCTCGGTCGGACCGGCAGCTGACATCTGGCCTGCGGGCGGCGGCGGCTGATACGGCCGCCCCCGCCCCCGCCCCGGCAGGAGCTGCGCCCGATAGCGCTCTCCGTGGCCGGGATTACCGCATGACGCGGCTCCTGGAGTGCCCCCGGCCGGCGTTAGCTCACCCTACCTGACCGGCTGGGAGGCGTCGGTATGCCGGACTATCGATCATGTTTGGCTAAATCCCAGCAAACACGCTAGGTAGTCACGACTTTCCTTTTCTTTCTTGATATCTGCCAGGACCAGGAGTTATTGTTTGGGCTGGCCTATCTTATCTAGTCTATCTTGGTCTGGGCGTCCTCTAAATCCTTCCGGGCCCCATGTGCCGGCCTCCTTATCATCCCTGTTTACAATCACAATGTGTTCTCGTCTCCCGGGTGTGTATTTTGGCCACCGACAACCTGTTGTGAACCATGTCCAGCTATCCACCTGTCCACCCCGACTGCCCAGCCGTGCTGAGTGCCCGTGTTCTCACTGTCAGACACGCTCCCTCCGCCCCGTACTGACAGTAGCAGCGGAACACCTTCAATTGAGGGGGGGGGGGGGGCACTGCCGACTTTTGGTCCCATTCTTTCCATGCAACGCCCATAGGGCTAATGTTAAGATGCCGAAATCAAAGGGGGGCACGGTGCCCCGGTGCCCTCCCCGTTCCGCCGCCTATGCGTACTGAACCTGTGTCCGCCGGGACAGCCCTCTCCCTAATTCCAAAAGGTCTGGAGTGACAGCCCCGCACTGAGCTCCCATGCCCTTGTTCTCCACAGCGCCCGGTCTCACGTGCGCGGCCACCTGCGACTGTACCACGCGTACGTGCCCGACCCGGCCGGCCTGCCGGATGACGAGGACGCTCTGCAGGAGACGACCGAACACGATCCGGACTGGGAGGTGGTAGAGGATGGCGACACGGATACCAGCGAGACGCCAGCGCCGCAGGTGAGGATGGGAAGGGGGACGGGATCCGGAGTGGAGGGTTGTGGGGGGGGGGAGGGGATGGGACCCGGACTGGGAGGTGGTAGAGGATGGTGACACGGACACTAGCGAGACGCCAGCGCCGCAGGTGAGGAGGGGGAGACCGGCCGGGAGAGGGGGGGGGGAGCGATTAGAGCCGAGCTATGGTTAGGGCGTGGCTGGTGTGGTGTTTTATAACCGCCGTAAACTTGCTTTAAACTTGTGATCTGATCTCTTGACAGTGACCATCATTTGCTGTTAGTAGATGTTACAAATATACTGCCGACAATAGATGATTGTTAGACACATGGGCTGGTTGTTGAACACTGTCCATGCTGTGCGAGTGTTGCCTGTCCAGTGTCCACGCGTCATCGCCCGCCTCCTCTGTGTATTCCCATGGTATATTATCACTGACATCATGCCCTCCGTCGTCAGCCGTCCACGTCAGCTCCCGCCGCTCCGGCTCCCCTGCCCAGCGACTGGGAGGAGAGACAGGACGCCATCGGTCGCGTCTACTACGTCAGCCACGCGCTGCGCCTCACACAGTGGGAGCGGCCCGACGCCGGGTGAGTGGGGAAGTGATGTGGGGTAAGAATTGTGAGAGGGGTGACAGTGGGCGAGTGGAGAATAACGCTGAGATGCGGAGGATTTAAGACAGATGGCTCTGTATCTGGATTCAGTGTTTTTTTTTTTCATTCATAGCTGACTAGTATAGTATGTTCGCCCTTGTTAGACTATGATTACGGAATACTTTGAGTCACCCGTGTTTGGGGCAAGTGTTTGCTAGGCTGAAATTGTACGGTGACCGGCTTATCTGGTACATTTGTCGCATCGACAAGCTGTAAACCAGTATGTGGCATACTCGCTGACGACGGTCGCAAACGTCCTCTCTGACATCCCGCCTCCAACGTCACGCCCCCCCCCCCCCCTCCACCGTGCAGGACGACCCAGGGCGCCACTTCAGACGAGTCACAGCGGAGTCTGGACTCGGCGCACGAGGTGTACCGGCGCCGGTTCCACATCAGCGCCGATGACTCTGACTCGACGCACCAGAACAACCACGCCATCGTCGACCAGGTGGGGAGGATGGCGGAGGCGTGGTTAGAGAGACGAGGGATGGGTGGGTTGGATGAAGAGAAGTGTCAGTTTGGTGCGTATTGCAATCGACGCCTTGAGGAGGAAGAGGGTAAACTACCGGGGTTCTACATGGCCTGTGTGAAACTGAAAGGTGGTAGTTGAGTGCACTTGTGTGCGGTCTTTGAGGTTGAAAATGTTCACGCCGTATCTTCTGAATTTTGTGTGTGTTAAATGCCTGGGTACGGACTTTTGCGTTTTGCGCATCGATATGCGCGTGGTCCGTTTGTATGTCAGTGTTTGTGTTTTGTACGGTTGCTATGAGGCCTATCAGCTGCGTGCCGGCGCTACGTTCACCTGTTCTGTGCCTGTCCGCTACCCGTCCCCGGAGCAGGCTTCTCTCTCCACGGCGGAGGAGGAGGAGTCCGACTCGGAGGATGAGGAACGCGACCAGGTGCAGGGAATGGGAGGACCGAACCCGTGGCACTGCACCGTATATTGTACTGAATACCGTCCTAAACTGTATTACAGGCGACCTACCTGACCAGACCCTACCGTACCGTTGTACTCCAGATGTACCGTACTGCTGTACATTGGTACCACAGGCGCCTGTCACACCCGTACCATTATGTATCACCAGATAGTCTCTGTCCCTGCCGTAGTGTTGCGCCCAGACCGGTGTACAAAAGACTGTGTGCGTATAATCGTCACTCGTATTCATTGAGAGTTTGCAATACCGCACTGTGTGATAGAGCCGGCACCTCCCCATTGTACCGACAGCTGACGCACAACCTCTCACTGCGAGAATCAGACTCACGGCGCAGCTCCGTGGTCTCCGCCAATGTACCCACCGATGTAAGTAGCGCCCTCGCTCACCGACCCTCTCACCTTCCACGCTCACACTGACACTCACTCATTGCTGATAGATAGATACAGTACGTTTGAGTGCTATTAACTCTAAGGCAGTTTAGTAATGTTCATAAAACTTGTTTATTGCAACTTACTTCCAGGAAGACAATGCGCATAAGATTATGATCACTCATTTCCCTCGTATGTTTTCCTGTAAACTCGCGGCAGGTTATCCCTTCTATATGACATTCTGACGTCCTTGGCAATCTGCGTAGTATGTCTCACACTCAGTTGCCGTCAGAATACCGGCTATGTGTGTCTCATTTTCCCGGAATGTGTCTGATGACGCGTATGGCGCCACCGCTGTGTGTGTGTGTGAGGGGGGGGGGGAGTCCGGTAGGCGCTGGTGGCGTCCCCTGTCATGACCCGATCGCCCTGACTGCTGACGTGTATGCCGCAGCCGGACCTGAGTCCAGAGGGACTGCCTCCCGGCTGGACGGTCCAGAGGGCGCCCAACAACCGGATCTTCTTTATCGGTGGGTAGGGGGATGTAGGCAGGAAGGTTGTTTGACTTCAGGATGCATGAGGGATAGGGCAGAATAGGGCGGAGTGAATAGTCAACCGGGGTATACCGCAGATGATGGTCTGCATGTCGGTGACGTCGCCTGACGAAGTGGTTAACATGGGCTAGGTGTACCGTCATTGTGACGTGTTTCAGTAATATCAACCTCAGGGGGCACTTGGCAGCAGAGTAGACTAACATACCAACATACCGACGTCATAGGTGTGGTGTTTACCAACCATTCTACTTGTAAATGTGTCTGTGTTTGTTCTTAAATCTGTCATTGTTTGCACTTACGTCACTTTCTGCCGCTGTGTCAGTCATGTCTGAACTCTGAGGACTTACGTTTCACTCTCCCTCTCTGTTCCCGTTGGCCGTTTAGTGACGATTAACACCCTCACCCCCGGCAGACCACTGCAACAAGACCACCACCTGGATCGACCCACGCACCAACAAGCCGACGCCGCTGCCGGACGACCCCAACCAGCCGAAACGCGCCGACGATGAGCTGGGGCCTCTGCCCGATGGCTGGGAGGAGCGGGTGCACGCCGATGGGCGCATCTTCTTCATTGACCACAGTGAGTGGGCGCCGTAGTGCGGCTGGGAACGAGGGAAGGGGCGGAAAACACAGAAGGGAGGCCCGGGAAGCAGTGAGGATTGAAAAAGCAGAAGCGATAGGAAACCGGAGACGCAGCTAACTTTGAACTATACTGTAGTTAGTGGGTATGGGAGTAGGATGTCTTTTTACTATCATCATGGTTCTCATATTGTGTTTCGCGCAGAGCGGCGTTCGTCACTGCGTATGGCCAGTCTAGACCGATAGCAGCTGATGTCCAGACGACTGACTGAACTCCCGTTTTCAGAGAACCGGACGACGACATGGGAAGACCCGCGCATGCAGAACCCCAACATTGCCGGCGAGGTGGTACCTTACAGCCGCGACTACAAGCAGAAATACGAGTACCTGCGCAACCAGCTCAAACGGCCGGTCAGTCGGGGGCGTGGGTCATGACCTTTGTGGAGTAGGACTGAAGGGGGTCAATCAGCCAGCCTAGAAGAACGTCGTGGGTCACGACGTGCTTTTTGGGAAAGGGTGGGTGGGGCCCAAGGGTGTGTGGGGCCAGTCATTCGAAGGGACGGGTCACACCTTATTGTGAATGTGGATGTGGAGCGGCTACATTCACCGGTTAGAGAGGACCGAATATTATGTCCATCGTTTGTTTTATGTCGGTCGTGCGTCAGCATAATATTCTGTCATGGCTGTGGGATTGTGCCTGAAACTGTGTAACTGTGTGACACGGAGGCACAGCGACTTTCTGTTAGCCGCTGACTGGTTTCCGTCGAGGGCACTGAGCACCATCTTTTGTGGTTTGACATATGTCAATATAGTGTGAGTCAGCGCCGCTCCTGGAGGAAAGGACCGCTATTGAAATTGCTGTTAGGCATGCGTCCCCTAAGGTAAAGCAGATGTGCGTTATTTGCGCTTGGATGAAGACGAGCGCAGAGTTGTTCCCGCACAGCTGATAGAGTTGTGAAAAAGCTCATCCGTGATTCGGAAATGTAATTTGGAGAACTACTCTCAGGGATATAGGCATACCTTGTCTAGGGAACGAACAGGGAAACTGCAACAAAGGAATTTATTGCTTGTTAGAATAGTAAGTCGCTACTCGCTAGCCACATCCTAGCGTCGGATCCCGTGCCCCGCGCCACGTTAGACCACACCCCGCCGTCCCGGGTCTGACCCCAGTGTGAGTCGGGCCGCGCGTCCGAGCCCCGCCACCGGTCTCGGCCGTCCTCGCCCAAGGCGCACCAGCACCAGGAAGAGCACCACCGCGAGCACCACCGCGAGCACCAGCTGCCGGCGCTGCTGCGCCTGCGCGGCCGCAGCGCCAGTAGGGACAGACACGAGCGCGTGAGCACCGGGAGGAGTGCCGTGGGGACCCCTGGTCGAGGTGCCCGTCACCCACCTGTAGGCGCTGCTCAGCTCCGTCAGAAACCGGTGGCGCTGGCGGCTGCAGTGGATGGATCTTTTCGGCGTGCCTCGCGCTCCCTTGTGCCAAAGCTGCTCGCGAAACAGTATTATTGCGCTTCTATGCGTTCTTAGCTGTTAATCAATCAACATTTATCCGAAAACTGCTCTAAAAAAGTGGACATTAGTGTTCGCCGTTCAAGGTAAGAAGGTGCGTGTGTCTCGGTGTTGGTGTATAAATTGTTTGCCCTGACTCCTGTGTGTGGTGTGTGAGTGTGTTTGACCATGACCCGCAGTTTCATCTGTACTGTGAATCTGTTGCATGCTATTTGTTTGGACAAGGATGTCAAAACTTCACCATTGTTTTAAGGCCCTACTGAGTGCTTAGAAAAAAAAAACATATTCACATGGAACATCTCGTCATACAAAGGGAGGCTCGGAGACTAACTGATTTAGTTAATTGAACATTTGTCATTTTCTGATCAGAAGCGGGTATTAAATTGCGGTCAGCACAAAATGTTTGGCAAAGTTTTAAAACTTTTCTCGTCACATAAATATTCAGGAGCCTTAAAAGGACGTAGAACTTCAATTTTCTATCTGCATTGTCCGTCCCTAGATTCCCCTGCAGTTTCTCCCGGCCGCTGATCGCTGACGAGCCTCCCGCTGTCGTCTGCCCCCAGTCGGGTGTCCCCAACAAGTTCGAGATCAAGGTGCACCGTACATCCGTGTTCGAGGACTCGTTCCGAATCATCAGCTGCGTGACGCGCGTCGAGCTCCTGAAGACCAAACTGTGGATCGAGTTTCACGGGGAGGTGAGCTGCAGAGTCCATAGGTACCGTGACGACATATTGAAACGCCGTACCATGCATTGTCAATGGTTCGCTTTTTCTTTGCAGATTATTCTCGTCTTGTTTCAGGTCATGTCTGATGATGTGTGCACGGAGATTGCATTTACTTTGACTGCCGCCACCATTGGATATTGATTTATTCATGACAGTGCTATGATATCAGATTCGTGGCATTTGTTTATGCCTTGTTGTTGATTTGTTCGTGTTATGCAGTCAATACGTAGGCCAGCTGATGCGATAGGGTGGCATTTGAGTCTTTCAGTCACGTTAGGTCATTGAGTGCCGTCTGGCGAACTGTATCTGACCAATGTTTCGACGCCTCCACAGCCGGCATACGACTATGGCGGTCTGTCCCGAGAGTGGTTCTTCCTGCTCTCCCACGAGATGTTCAACCCCTACTACGGACTGTTCGAGTACTCGGCCATGTGAGTGGGCGATGGGGAGAGGGAGGGAGGGGACATAGAGACCGGAGGGGACGGGACGGTGGAGAGGAGAGGGGAGGGGAGGGAAAAACGGGTGGGCGTCTGAGGCGAGTAAGCTACTTTGGCAGCCAGTTTGTATGGCTGTGATAGTGTTGGTACCTGATTGTGATGTGTCGTTGTATTGAGATATCTTACCGATCATTTCATTTCAAATATATTTCAAATATTTATTGCTTTGAGCGTTGAAAACCGGATGACAAAAATTCACACCCATGTGCCTCATGAAAATATGCGAACCACATTAACTCTGTATAATCTGGCAAGGTCGTCCGCTCGTTTTCACTACCCGCCGACGTATCGTACCATCACAACGTGTACCCCACAACGTCCCCGTCGTACCATCGCTGAGCCAGTGTACACGGGGCCGTGTCAGTCAGTCAGTCACTTTCCATATCGCTATTGTATGTCATTGTCAGTGGGCGCGCCTGTGAGCGGTTACTGCTCCCGGCCCCCTGCCCAATGGGTGCAGATCCCCGTGTAACAGCGGCCCCTCCTCTCAACAGGGACAACTACACGCTGCAAATCAACCCGGCTTCGGGCCTCTGCAACGACGATCATCTGGCCTACTTTAAGTTCATCGGCCGCGTGGCGGGCATGGCGGTGTTCCACGGCAAACTGCTGGACGGTGAGGGGCCGGCTGGGGGCCTGGGGGAGATCACAATTCACAGTCACAGGTCACACAAAGTCACAGGCCACACAGTCACACTCAGGCTACTTTTGAAATCACAGTTACAATCCACACTGTGGTAGTGTGCATAGAAACTTGTATAAGGTCGCAGTCACAGATCACACAGTCATACTCAGATCACACACTAGGATATGCAGTCCAAGTTTGGCTCCCATGTAGGAGGAGAATCCGGATCACGGTCACGGTCTATGTGGGTCAGGGGTTGCTTGGTCGCGAGTTCGCGTCTCCTGCCCAGGGTACAAACGTTTACTGCAGTAACGGATAAACTCTGGTGACACGGCAGGTCGAGCGTCCCAGAATAGCTGACCTTTAGTTTCCGACGGCGCTCCATTAGCAGTGAATAACTGCAGGTCGCACGGCGTTGGAAAGCTTCTGTGACACTGCATTGCGACATGCAACCACGGTGTTGCTTTGAACTTCGCGTGTCGTGTGCGATGTAGTTGGCACTGAAGATGGACTGGAAACACTTAAATGTATCGCGTTGTGAGCATCGGCTTAAGCGGGTATAGCGAGTACAGTGGTCTGGAGTAGCCGCTCGTAATGCCCTACTGTACCGTACTTACCGCTGTTGGTCATCCTAGCAGACTGTCTTTGTGTCCCATCCACGGTCTATAGCCGTACGACGTATTACACAGTTGTGCGTGCCGCCCCTGGTCGTCCTAACCCTCTGTGACTGCCGCCAGCCTTCTTCATCCGTCCGTTCTACAAGATGATGCTGGCCAAGCCGATCGAGCTGAAGGACATGGAGAGTGTCGACTCGGAGTACTACAACTCACTGATGTGGATCAAGGTGAGCTGGGCGGACAATAAAGGTGGCTACTTGTGCTACGGTGGATTGGAGCGGTCACGTCTAATATGCTAATCCGTCGACTGATACCTTTACATAGCTTTTACAGATTGATGGACGATGCATTTTAGCCAGACATCTCAGTTGTTATATAGCTTACTTCTCATACAAGTAATATCCAGAATAATTTAATCATTCAATCAGAAACAAACTCACTCTCTCTCTCTCTCTCTGTGACAGTATCACGCTGGACCAAATATATCCCGTCCCGTACCCTGGCCCATGACCTGACCGTTTACCTGACCTCACCCCACCCTCCCAGGACAACGACCCAGCCGACCTGATGCTGACGTTTGCCGTGGACGAGGAGAACTTCGGCAAAAAGAACGAGCGGGAACTGAAGCCCAACGGCGCCGTCATTTCGGTCACCAACGAGAACAAAAACGAATATATCGGGTAAGTGGGGCGGGAGGGACTCTGCCTGACGAGTAGGTATATCGAGTAAGTGGTGCGCTGGCAGACCGCCGACGAGTTGGCAGGGCTTCGTTGGGTTTGATTTAATGCTTTCAGTCATTGATGTCAATATTTGAAAATCAGATTATTTTCATTTTTCTGTGAGAGATGGAGATTATTAGTGGTAACGAGGGAAACTGTTACTTGAAAACAAACCAACTGCGCATCAGATTATTGGACTGAGAACGCCGTCTCGTGGCCTAAAAGCGACGAGCACCAGATGTGTCCCGTCGTCTTATCAGCTGCCTGCTTCTCTCCACCCCTTCCCTCGGGCCTGACTCCCATCCTTCCTTCCACAGGCTGATCATAGAGTGGCGGTTCGTGTCGCGCATCAAGCCACAGATGAACGCCATCTTGGAGGGGTTCAACGAGATTGTGCCCCTGCCGCTGCTCAAGATCTTTGACGAGAACGAGCTGGAGCTGCTGATGTGCGGCCTGGGCAACATCGACGTCAAGAACTGGAAGCAGAACACGGTCTACAAGGGCGACTACCACGCCAACCACATGGTCATCCAGTGGTTCTGGAGGGTACGAACTCAGGCGAGAGGCGGGGATTATTTGTGTGGGGTTTCTGCGAGAGGCGGGCGGTGTAATCCCTTCAAATTTCCTCCAGCTGCTGATATTAACTGCTTTATTGTTATGATAGGGAAATTCGAAAAGTAAGCCTCCTTTACATCAAACCTGTAAAAATCGGTACCCAAATTGTTTAATCCCTCTTCGACTAAGCTCTTCCGAGGTGACCATGACTAGGTAATAGTTATTGGACACTCCGCACAGTTCTCCATGTTACTAAGAGAATTGCGGGTCGTTGATCGTTGCACACTTTTAGTTGTCGGCAGGCTCTCCTTTCCTCCCCGCTCTAACACTCGCCTCTCGCTGCAGGTGGTCCTCTCGTTCAGTAACGAGATGCGCGCGCGGCTGCTCCAGTTTGTTACGGGCACCTCGCGCGTGCCCATGAACGGCTTCAAGGAGCTGTACGGCAGCAACGGACCGCAGCTCTTCACCATCGAGAAGTGGGGCGCGCCCAACAACTACCCGCGCGCGCACACCTGGTAAGACTCGGTACTGGGGGCGGTCAAATTCTAGAGACAGGATGGGAGGGACTTCTTCTTCTTCTTCTTCTGTTGTCCGGCGATTCCGGCGGGCCGATCATCGAGCCTCCGGCAGGAGGCCAGTCCTCCTGAAGAACCTCAGCACCGCGTCCGGGTCCTCTTGTAGCACCGTCAGTGTCGGGGTGTGGCCGAGGAGCGCAGACCGCGCCGCCTGGTATTTCGGGCATTCACAGACCACGTGTTCCGTGTCCTCCGGCACGCCACACTCGGGACACAGGCCGTCGGTGTCCGGCCTGTTCCATCTGGCTAGTGTGGCTTGGAGCAGTGGACAGCGGTTCGCTCGCAGCTGATGGAGCAGAACCTGGTCCCGTCTGGCCCATTCACTCTCATACTTCAGGCAGCGCCCGTCCGTCGCTCTCCGGTGTGTGTGCTCCGGGGGCACGGTGGTGTGGTACGTGCCAGACCATTTCTTCCAGCACACACCACGGATGGCCACTTTCGCCGACGGGAGGTCGATCTTGGCCGTTTCTTGAGGGAGGGTCCTTCCGGTGTTTGCAGCCTGGTCTGCCTGCTCATTTCCCGCGATGTCTACGTGGCCAGGGATCCAGACGATTTGCACGTTCACTTTTCTGCGACTGAGATGGTTCAGGCCTGTCCATATCTCGGTAAGGGTTTCTGGGGCGGGCCCTCTGGTACCCTGTTTGAGGAAGGTTACCAGTGAGAGTGAGTCGGTGCACAGGCGGGTCGTCTTGACTTCCTTTGGGGCTCCCGCTGCGTCCCTCACAGCTGCCAGGAAAGCCACTTGCTCGGCCCGGTACGAGCTTGACCACTTGCCGGCCGGTACGCTCCAGGTCGCGTTGCCTCGGCCTTGCTCGATGCGGACAACTCCCCCTCCGCCAACTCCAAACCCCTTCTCCGTGGAACCGTCAGTGTAGTAGGTTGAGTCCGTGGGCGGCAGGGATTCCAGGACGCGCTCTGCTGCCGCTCGCCTTCTTTCCGGTGGATCATGTCTGGAGGTGGTGTCACCAGATTCCGTGTGGAAGCTGATCCTTCCTTTCCCCATCGACAGCCACGGGGGGCGCGGTGGCAGGGACATTGCCTCCCTCTCCGTCTCCTCGAGCAGCGCTTCCTTCGCGATCTTGGTCGCTTCTTCGCGCCAGGTCTGCCGGTTCACGAGCCGCTTCCTCATCTTCCTGGTGACCGTCTGTCGGGCCGGGACGCTGTCAGGGAGACGGATGACCCTCTCTCGCAGGATCGCGCCTTGTTCTTCAGCCAGAGAAGAGATGCTCCGGATGTTGGCCTCCGCCATCACCACCCTCGTCCTCGTGCCGGCTGGGCAGCCCGTGATGATTCGGGCTCCGGCGGCCGCGACCTGGTCCATCTTCTCCCTGTTCGTCTTCCGGCTCAGCGACATGTACGCCGCGCTTCCATACAGCGCTACGGGTTGGATGAACTGGCAGTACATCCTTCGCAGGGTTACTGAGCTGCAACCCCACGTGGTTCCCGCCAGAGCCTTGGTGACTTGCAGTCGCTTTGCCAGCTTGCCCTTCAGCTGCTGTACATGTTGGGTGAAAGACAGTTGGGTATCGAAGACGACTCCCAGCACTGTGACTTCGCTGGTTTGCTGTATGGTCGTGTCCCCCAGACAGATGTCCACCTTTTTCTTTGAGTTTACTTCGTGTACGTTGGAGGTGAATAAGATTGTCTTGGTTTTGGTGGCGCTGATTGTCATGTTCCAGGCGTAGGCCCATTCCTCTACTTCGTCCATTGCCGCCTGCACCTTGGCCTGGGCTGTGGGGACGCTGCTGTCACTGGCGTAGATGATCAGGTCGTCTGCGTACATGCCGATCTGCACGTCGTGTCGCCGCAGCACTGGTGCCAGGTCGTTGATGTAGCAGAGCCACAGGAGCGGTGAGATCACTCCTCCCTGCGGCAGGCCCTCCCGCATCTTCACCTCTGCGGATGCCGTCTCGTCCCATGCCACTCTGGCTCTTCGATCTGCCAGGAAGTTCCTGATCCACCTCATCATACATGGTGGAACATCCATGTCCGTCATCTTGTAGAGCAGACTGGTTTTGTTGACACGGTCGTACGCGGCAGTCATGTCTACAGCCACCAGGACTGTTCTCTTGGTGGGCTTCGCTTCCATGGCATCCATGATATCTTGGCCGAGTCGGGCGATCTGCTCCTCTGTGCACCGGCCGGATCTGAAGCCCGCCTGTTCTGGGACGAGGGTGCCATTCGCTTCGAGCAGGTACGCCAGTCGGCCCTGGAGGAGGCGTTCGGCCAGTTTGCAGATGCAGCTGGTGAGGCTGATTGGGCGGTACGACGACGGCTGTTCCGGGGGTTTCCCGTTCTTGTGAATCGGTATGATCTTGGCTCTGCGCCAGGCGGTGGGCACCTCTCCCGATGCGAGACTCTTGTTCAGCACTCTGAGGAGCGTCTTCCTGCCCGCCGTGCTGAGTTCCTTCAGCATCTGTGGCATCACTCCGTCCGGGCCGGGGGCACCTGTTTTCATGTGAGACAGGGCCACTTCCAGCTCCGTCAAGCTGTAGGGACGGCAGACTTTGCCCCGGCAGTTTGGGTGTTGCTTGCATGGTTGGGCTACCGCCTTGTTCACCGCCTGTCGTCTGGCCTTCTGGTGGTCTCTGAGTTCCTGGTTTGAGGCTGAGTATTGTGATTGGCTGACTTGGGCATAGTGTTTAGCCATGACATCTGCTTTTTCCTTCGCTGTTTTTGCAGATCTTCTGTGCACTTTCAGGATAGCTGTCGAGGAGGGACTGGAGCAGAGGGTGTAGTCGATAGTTGATGCGGAGTTGAATAATGCTCAGTTTGAATTTTAATGGCGTAGCAGACGGAAGGAGGTTGAGGGGAGTGTTCACAAGATCAGTAGGACTTTAACTAGGATCGGAAGTTGGTAGTTCCTGGCTCGCCTCCTCAGCTGCTCCATTCATCGACAATATTTTGATTAGACTCGATGGCCGGAAAAGCGAATGCGGCCGTGTGATTATACACTGTTCATGTTTCAGAACTGTTAGTTTTCCTGGTTCATAACCATGCTTCATGAGTGAGCTATAAAAGTTAAATAAGTTGGGCGCTAACAAATTTGAATCATAATTACTCGACGGCTGCGCGTATAAAGTGAAATCACCGTCATTTCTGCGCCGTAAATTTCGTCATAGTTTGCCAGTTGCCTTTCGCTCAACTTTGCAGGTCGCGCCAGATCGATCGATGAAACGAGTCAGTGGCTGGCTTCCGTTTCGCTGTGAAATGTTGGCAGCGCTGATTAATATGTATCATGGAACGTTGAACTTAATTTAAAACCTACTCAGAGATGACTGGCCCTGTTCAGTTTACACCCGGATATGGTATTATTTTTGTTGTTGCGGTCTGTAGATAATTGAAAAAATTTGCCCTTTTCAGGATTTTCTTTATTTTAATTGGTCTCTGAGCTCTGTGTGCCAGGATATTGACTTTCAAAGTGTATTTTGACATAAAAAGTGAGCGACGTCATAACCAAAGCATCCATACATATCGACTTTAACATATATCCTCTTGGCACTTGCGCCCCTCCCGCTAGCTCAGCGATCGCTCCACCAGCGCCCTTCTCTGACGTCACTTCACTCGTTTCTCCCTCTGCAGCTTCAACCGGCTCGACCTGCCGGCCTACGGCAGCTACCAGGTGCTTCGCGACCGACTCGTCAAGGCCATCGAGTCACCGCAGGTCTTCGATGGCGTCGACTAGTCGGCTCGCCGTGGTGCCCGCCGCGTCTCCTGCGTCTCCGTCAGTGTCTCCGCTGCGTCTCTCCATGTCGCGGTACGTCCCCGCTGCGTCTCCTCTCAGTCTGTCGCCTCTTCCTCCGTGCTCTGTCAGGCGAAACTGCGGGGGCGGCGGGCGGCGGTCTGCGGGTTCTCCTCGCCGCCCGACCGCCGCTCTGATAGGGTCGCTCTGATAGGCTGACGATAGCTGGGGACAGGCACCGATCTAGGGGACCGTGCTGCTGTCTCTGTCCTAAAACTGCTCTGGACGGAGGTTAGGCGGCTTGACCGTCTCGCCAGGCGGCTGGAGGGGACAGGGGCTCGCAGTAGAGTCTACGGGTGCCCGCTGCTCCGTGGCGGCGCTAGATGAGCGGAACGGACAGCAGAGACGGGTGGTTCCGGACAGTGCGGCCTGTCTGACTCCCGATCGGCCGGGGAGCGGGGGAGGACGCGGCGGGGCTGGCAGCTCCGCGGGTGGATGTTCATGGGCGGCCGACTGTTCGTCTGTGGGTCGGCGCCGCGTCCACGGCACCCGCCGCCGCTGCCGTCGCTGCCGGACGGGCCCCCGGGTCGTACCGTCAGTGATATTGGTCGCGGTGTCTCCGTCAACTGCCCCCTGCCGCGGCCGTGTTGTGTTCGCATTTTATTTGGTGACCCGGGCCTTCGCAGGCCCAGGTTAGCCCCTGTGAGGATGGCACCTACCCGTGGTGGGTGGCCCTATATTGTAGGTAGCAAACTTAATGTGAAATTCTCTATACATCTACGGAGCGACGAGCGATGAACTGAGGTTGTGTTGGTGTCATGTGTATGCTGCGATGCTGCTAAGTTAGTCATGTTTATGGGAGGGGATATGAATAACTATTCTACGGATATGTCCTTATAGAGTATGCACTCTCTTAATGTCCAATCAGTGCTGTTTAGGTGGTATGACGCGCCCTGGCGTATAACCGACTGATTCATTGGACGCATTATTTCTCAGCGGTACTGATCTGTTTGGTACTGGACGAAGACAGCAATAGATTACAGACCTTTTATATGAACTCTGTCAGCTAATGTACGTGTGTTTGATGTGTGGTTTGTGTCCCCCCGTATCCTTTCCCAAATTCCGGAACCCTGACTCCCTACGCTAACGGCTCCAGTAGTCGGTGACTTCTGTGAAGTGAGCACATTCCCTCATCCAGTATATCAAATTTAGCGTTTATTACCCTGCAGTGGTAATTGGTATTCACGTATTTTCGCTTCGCACGCTCGGCTTTTCGACAGGATCATTTGTTTACGGGGTGCCGCGAGAGTGGCCTGTTCAAAAATGCTTTGGAACGTCTAGGGTCGCCTCGTTTGAAGAAGCCTACCAAATGAAATATGCTAACACTAGTTCGGTATGTTTTATTCTGGATTTCCCCGTCGACTTATGTTATATAAGCCTAAAGGGCACCCGCCTCTGCTCTAGGCACCTGCCTCCGTCTGTTGATATTTGCTCAAACCGCATTCCCTCCCCTACTGATTCCAATCCTAGATCCCACCTAACTATTCCACTCCTCGTGATCGTGGCGTATTCCCGCAATGCAAGAGGCTACCCAGCCACACCTTCTTAACCTTTGTGTGTTTCACCCGCCCGTCATGGTTTTAGATTATGTATGTATGCTTATAGCTACTGCGGACGGCGCTCGGCCCGTGCTCCTTGGTTTCATTGATGTAGTTCTCTGCACGCTGGTGTATCACGTGAAGCAATGTTGTGTCGACCGATGAACGGTATCGCCTGGTGGCACTGTATGGGTATGAGCGATCAACAGGCGGCAAGTCCAGCCCGGATTGAAGGCACGTCAAATGAGTCGTCACCGGTGTGTTCAGAGAGTGTCCAAGCGCGTGTCCTGGTGTCCAGGCGCGTGTCCTGGTGTCCAGATGTGTCCGCGCTGTCCGCGGGTGTGTCCGAAGTCCGTGTCCGGCTGTGTGAGACGAGTGCTGACCGGCGGCCCACGTCGGTCCGAGTGCAATATTGGCGCCTCTGCAGCAGCTCACTGTGTGTGTGCGTGTGTGTGCGGCTGGGCGCGTTGGCAGCTCGCTGGCAGGACGGCCGATGTGTACCGCGCACCGAAGAACCTGTTGCAATGCCAGCCGGCAGTGACGGCGCTGGGACTCGGTTCACAGCTGTGCAGTTTGAGGTAGATCTGATGGATTACTGACCGGCTCCCGGCCGTCACACGCCGAGTCTGGACAGTCGGTTACGCGTGCGCAGCTGTCTGGGCCAGCCCGTGCCTTGTAGTGGAGTGGTCCGACTGAGTCTAGACGCCGCCGGTTCCAGCGCAGCCCAGTGGAAGCCGGCCCGCGCCGCTGCTTCAGCTGCCAGTGCCAGAGATTGCGCGTCTACCGCCCCTGTATGCTGTGCGAGTATCGTATTCAATATACATACAAACTATTGGTGCTTATCGTGTGTGATAAGTCAGTGACGTATTGACTCCGGACTGCTGCAGTGACTGAGACGAAGCGAATCAGGTCGAGCAGACTTGTGGGCATGCATAGAGTGGGGCGAGCTCATTGGATTGGAGCGTTCAATAAACATGGGACAGGGCGACGATGTAGCAAGGAGGTGACCTGTTGCATCACCTGATGTAAAGTATCCATGACAGTTGGATAGCGACAACTCAAGAAACTCAAGATTACTTTCAAACGATATTTATTTTTAAATTACTTTTAACCCTATTCCTGGCGGGCTCCGCCGGGACAAGAAACTGGCGGGGGGCCGATTCGGCCCCCCCCTGAGATCTCGAGAACGAAGCAAGATAGCGACAAGCGGTAAACGGCATCGGATATGCACGGCCAAGATCTACAATTTTTACTAAGGTCATTTTCAGGTCAGGTCAAAGATGACGTCACAGGGGTCGAAAAAGTCAAAATGGCGGCGCTAGATATGGAGAGAGTTTTTCTCGAATAACTTTCGAATTAGTCAAGATAGGAACAAACTAAGGGCATCATCGTGATCCTCTCGTCAATCCGCATCGAATGATATATATGTTGACCTCGAAAGGTCAAGGTCAAAGGTTGACCTCAGGTCACGTGACCTCGAGGTCATCATGTATATCATTCGATGCGTCTTGACGAGCTGAACACAATGAGACCATCCACGCGTCTGTATCTTGTTCCTGTACGGAGTTATTGGCCAAAAACCTTTGGTGACCTTTGATGACGTCACATGACCTCACAGCTGCCCAACAGCAAAACAGACCTCAAGGTAGTGAAGGTTGATCGTATATGAAGTCATGTATGGTATATGGGGCCATTCCGACCCGTTTTAGTGGTAAAAACAGGGAGTTGATTTTTCCCCCATTGACTTATAATGGGGAGGTCGCGAAATTGACCTGACCTTAGGTCACCGATATCAAAATTCCGAGATATACAAATTGCACATACTGGTACCATAACTAAACCCTGAAGAGAAGAAATTGATCGGTCAAAAACTCTAGCTCTGGCGTGATTGCAAACTTTTCTGAGGTAGGGTCACCAAACCGCCTCTGGTGACCTGACCTGAGGTCAGATCAACTCAAAATTTTCAGACATGTTGCGTAGAAGCCTTTTAGGAAAAGTCAGAAAATTTGAGCTTCCTAGCTCAACGCGTTTGGGAGAAATAACCAAAAAACCTCAGGGGGGGGGGGCTCCTGAGGCCCCCCCCCCCGCCAGGAATAGGGTTAAATACACAAAGCTTTCGGTCACATACGACCTTGATCACTGTGTTTCACAATGTTTCCAATGAAACATTGTGATTTCATTGGAAACATGAAATGTTTCCAATGAATGTTTTCCAATGAATGTTTTCCAACAATGTTTCCAATGAAACATTGTGATTTCATTGGAAACATTTCATGTTTCCAATGAAACATTGTGAAACACAGTGATCAAGGTCGTATGTGACCGAAAGCTTTGTGTATTTAAAAGTAATTTAAAAATACATATCGTTTGAAAGTAATCTTGAGTTTCTTGAGTTGTCGCTACGCATCACCTGATCCTTAGAGGAATGATGATGTAAACAACCTCGCCTTTGTATCGTAAACAATGGTTATGGATTTTTACTTTGGTCTTTTTATTTATTTGTGCTTTGGAGAATGGAATCAAGGCATCAAAATACTTTTGGAATGCGGGGTAGAATGTATGTAGCTAAATGTCACACTGCGCAATTGAAGAATCTGCCGTGATCAAATTGGGAGTTTGATGTGATGAAACTTGAAAGCCTTGCACTGGTGACGTAAGTAAGCATCCTTTTCTTTTGCCTACTATGGCGTGTTTTGATGCTTATGGTGTGCACACCTATCGTTTTTGTAGATGCATGACAATCTGCATGCCTATCATTGTTTTCGTGGCGAACTACCAGAACGTCAAAACTCGGCAACTCCTTATGTAACGTTTAAGGCTCGACACATGCAAACGGAAACTTCAAAGCAGCCTACAACGTAACTTGGTTTGGCCCGACATTGTAACAGCAGTGTCCACCGCAGCTATTGCGCAACACCGTCCGACTTTACTCCTGGAAGTTTGTCACGTTAATACTTGCAGCAGCTTCCGCATCCTCCGGGTGCTCCTCCGCAGGGCCCGGCCCGTTTCTCGACTCCTCCATGCTCTCCGGTTCCTGCCGAGCTCTTGCTGCTAGCTGTCTGGACAGCTCCAGCCTCGCTCGGCTGACCTCCCGGGCCGGCGCCGGCCGCGGTGGCAGCCAGCCGCGATCCTAGAGAGTTGTTGACCACCGTGCCGCCCCTACCGGCCGGCCTGCCGCCCTGCCCATTGACGTGTACGTTCACCACGGCATTGCTGGCGGCCCCGGCGGTTGCTCCGCCTCCGGAGCCGGAGCCGGAGCCGCCGCGGGCCTGCACGTTCTGCAGCTGGTTCTGGTGCACGTTGATGTGCACGTGCTGCACACTGGGCGGCCGCGTGGGCGCCCCGTGGTGAAACACGTGCACCACGTGCGGCCCACGATCGGAGCTCGAGCGGGCGCAGTGGTCACACGGGGGCTGGCTGTTGTGACCCCGGTACGGTTCTTGGTACACGGGGTACTGCGTGCCCTGATAACCGTGGTACTGTCTCGGCTGGACCGTGTGTGAACCGGGAGGACAGTGGCTGGAGCCAGGCTGACACGGGTAGGTTACCTTTCCGTCCGGCCGGCTTGGGTACACCCCATAGGTACCGGAACTGGGTGGAGGCCCTCCTCGCTCCCCTCCAGAGCGTTTTCCAGGAGGTGGTGTGTGCGGGCGAGTTGGTGGGTGCTTCGGCTTCTTGGGCCAGTGTTTCGGATACCCAGTTGGCGGGGTCTTCTGCCTCCGAGGCGTGGTTGGCGGAGTCCGTTTTCTAGGTGGAGTTGGCGGAGTCTTCGGCTTTCTAGGCGGAGTCGGCGGGGTCCTTCGTCTTCTGGGCGGAGTTGGAGGTGTTCTCCTTCTAGTTGGGCGCCGGGTTGGCGGAGTTCGTCTTCTAGGCGGGGTTGGTGGAGTCCTCCGTCTCCTAGGCGGGGTCGGCGGTGTCTTCCGCCTCCTGTTGGGAGGCTGGGTCGGAGGGGTTCTTCTCGGACGTCTAGTTGTTGGCGGTGGCCGTTTCCGTATCACCCTCGCGCCTCTGCAGTGGCTGGCCAGCTTCGGATTTCCCATCAGTTTATAGGCCACCCAGAAGTCGGGTCTGCTGCGGCAGTGCTGAGCACCTACCTCGGTCAGCTTCTTGTTCCAGTGGTTCATGCAGAAGCAGTTGGAGGGGCCACCGCCGCCCGGCAGCGGCTGGGCGCGGCGGATGAACACGGCAAAGAAGTAGCCAATCGCATGACAGCGGCAGATGCAGGCGTCCGCCCGGTGAGCCGGCGGCGGCCTGTGTCGATTGGCTGCGCTGAACGGCGGCCAGAGGAACCGAGCCGGCGCTCCCAGCGGTCGGTAACAGGTGAACCCGGGCAGCACGGTCCCCCAGCCGAGAGCACCGGTGCCGCTGCCGACTCTGATCAGACACAGCACCGCCAGCAGCAGCAGAAGCGGCCACGGGCGGCTCATCGCTCCGTGTACCGGTCCAGGGGAGCGGCGGCACAGCATATCGGTCCCGCTGTCGGACACGACTGGCGCACCCGCGGGCGTCTGCCGACCCGGCCTTGGCATGTCGGTGGTCCGAACAGCCGCTCTGACATGACCTCTTGTGACGGTGACGGCTTGAACAGGAGTTGGACGACATTAAGTTGTTTTGTTCAGACTACAACTGACGTACTTGGCAGCACATTGATTGATGTGGCTGCGTCAGATTGGTATGCGGGTTGGAACACGAAAAAATGATGCAAATATTGCAAAGCCGCAAAGAAGCTCAGCAAGAGCTCCTTGGCAGCTCCTGGTTTTCGGCCGCTTTCGTGTAGGTGTCTCGGCTTCCAGGTGTTTACCTATCCACAGCCGCTTCTGCTTCTCTGAGGGCTCTTGGTTGCCAGACTGTAGGTATCCGGCTCCCTTGCAACTCATACAGCTATTGCCTTCGTTGCCTGCCATCTCCTGATTCCCTGACCGTTTCTGGATCACCGACCGTATCGTTCGCTTGAGGCGTGCATTGCGGTACAGCCTACGTTCAGGCGCTTACCACTGCTGCCATCTAGCGGCAGGAATATCAGACTCGCACTGTGAGGCAGCTCATCGGACCGCGGTGCGAAAAGTCGCTGATTTATCAGCACGCATATTAGGTGCCAGCGGTGAAGAAATCGCAAAGTGGTGATCACCAAGTCATATGTCGAAAGCTACCACAAATGAGCCTGGTAGAATAGGAATGACCCGACTAGGGAAACATTGACCGCGTGAGTGAAACGCATGGGAGGGAGAGGGCGAACACATGTGAAGATCGGGGAATCGTGACGAGATTACATAGCTCCGGCAATGCAATTATTTAGCAATGAAGTTCTTTGAATGTTAAGGTAAAATATGTCCTACGGATAAAAATCCTAACAATGGCACTCTCGATTCGCTATTTCGCCGAACACAGTATCGAACCGTGTTCACGGGTCCAATGAAAATGCATATCAATTAACAAAATACATCAACTCCTATCTGTTCTAATCCTCTGTACCTATTTCTGTTCTACCCCGCCGTCTGTCTGACTGTCTAACTGCCTGTCTTGTTCTGTTTGTGTGTGTGTCTCTGTCTCTGTCTCCTCGCTCCTCTGTTGGTCGGTCACCATCCCTGTCTATGTCTCTATATTTCTATCTCCCTCCCCATTCCGCCACACTCCGGCGCGCGCGCCATTGCGTGGACACGCACCGGAATCGACGGACACGCACGCGGCTGGCTTGAATGGGTCGTTAATCACTGTTTTAGTGGGCCGCGCGTCGCGTCCTATCCCAACAGCGCGGCTCTTCGCCGGCCCGCCGTCGTCGACACCAATTTGTCGACGACGCGTCACGACGGTCCGCCCCCCGCCCCCCGCTCTGCCCTTCCCCCGCGTGGGTGGGACCCGCCCCTCGGCGGGTGCCGCCCATCCCCGCTCTTTGTTGGCGCGCTCGATAGGAGCACTACCTGGTGGCCGGTTCCCGAACTACGGAATGGCGCCACGAGGAGCGCTTTGGCATAGGCGGCGAATGGAGGGCGCCTGCTGGTGCGCCGTGCATCACACCATTGAAAAGGCAAGGTGGCACCAATTTCATGACTGATACAAATTGATAGAGAAATGCAGTTTATTACCGTATCAGTTGCACCCTGTTTTATGGTTTTAGGCCGTTGGTTTTAGGGAATAGGTAATTCGTTCACTTCGAGGGATAAAAAATAATAGCATTAAATTTTACAAAGGTCAAAGTTTAGGGCCTGGGGTCAAAGGCACAAGCAGACGGTGAAGCTGACCAGTGACCAGTTGACACTGATGTCTTTTTTTTCTTTTTTTCTCGTTGAAATGTTAACAATGTTCACATTTGCTGTTACATTCGTCGTTACATTTTTTTACATGCCAAGCATCACGATCCCCAGTTCATACTTCATTGTGTATGCAATATGCATGCTGCAGCTCTTACCTCTGATCTTATGGTATCGTCATCCACTGTCCCAGGTGAGGTCTCGGCACAAAGATAGTGGCTGGAAGGGTGGGCGTGCCTTGCCCGCGGCTCTGCACCGCCCCCTCCCCTCCCCTCCCCCGCGGCCGCCTCTCTCGCGCTCCATCGCCGGCGGCTGTTTTGCAGAGATCAATCTCGTAAAGTTGATGCGATGGCGCGCGTCCGTCACCCTGGAGAGGTGCTAAACTGGAGCGATGCTGCCCCAGCCCGGCTTCGTCAGCACGACAGGAGGGTCGGCTGATGCAGCTGCTGCAGCCCTGTGAGCGCAACAGGCCGTCGCGAGCGGCAGATCATCTGAACCATGCAGTCCGACAATTGATAGCATATAACACCGCCGGGCATATTCATATGTTCACTGAAAATATTAACTGGTATGCATGCAGTTGTGGGATCCATACAAAAAGTCATATTAAGCTGTCGAAGTTCGAACACGTACAAACGGATCGAACGGTGCCATATTGACCTGTCGGACACACTTAGACTCCGTCTCATGAAGCTGTCGGTCGGGCACATTCAGCCGGAATATGCAGCTGATAGGACGCGTTGCGAGGATTGACGGCAGAGTGTTTTCCCATTTCCTGGGACGTGACCGCCGCCGTGATGCGTGATCTTATGCTTAAAGTGATCGTGTTTGCTGTTCAAGTGTTAAGCTATGAGTAAATAAAATTAACATCGCCGTGTCGCTCGGGCTGCCTTCGCACATAAACCGAGTCCGTCTAACCGAGCAGCATGTCGCTGAGCGAGGCGTTTCTTCGCAAAGGGTTCTGGTGAGGAAGGTAAAGCTTCTGTCTGAGTTTCTTACGAAGCTGGTCTAAATCAGACCTTCCGCTGTCGCTATAAACTATTTATCAGGACAACAAGTCCTGGGTATCGTCTGGTCCGACGGGCAGATATGCTCCATCATCCGTAGCAGCCATGAAATGAGATCAGCAGGCGTTAGGAGCTCCCAGGTGAGGAGCACTCACGTCATCTCTATAGGATTAGTCTCGTACCCAGATAAAAGCTTTGTCTTCCAAGAGGATAGAGCGAATGCAGCGTGAAACTCCTGCCATTTAGCGCGATGCTGGGACTGCTCAGAGCCCAGCATATGGACTTACTAGAAACGGAAACGTTTAGCCATGAAAGGTAAGTATGCGTCATCATTTTAAAAGTTACTTCATTATGCAATTGTACGACTTTAATGCTGTATCGTCTAAGATCCAGTTCATGCAGTGCAAGTATTGTTGCAATTATAGCTACAAATTATGATTGCAGAGCATACTGTGGAAGCAGTGCCTATAGGTAGGTATCAGGTATGCACTGTGTGTAGTAAACGACGCTATTTTCATTGTGCTATAGGACTGGCGCCAGTTAATTATCCTAAACTTAAGGTCTTTGTGAAATCTAATGGGGAGTGCAATTAAGAAGGCCGCAAAAATACATTTGATTTTCATTTTAGTATTAACAATAACTAATCCAGACTTCCTTTTAATATAAAAACTGAAGTGAAGGCCACTCGCCATGCCGACTTTTCCACATGTGATTTGAGAGAGCCGAGAAGTGACGACTCATTGTGTGCCCCTTCGCCGTCTGTCGCCGGCCGCCGTTTTAAAAAGCATGACTCGGCCGATTCTGCCTGCACCAACAACCCGTTACCGCGGCGCCCAACATGGCCGCTGGCTGGTCATTTACCAGACCCATTGTTCTCGCAGCGAAATTCAACTACTTCCTCTATCTTTAGCATTAGTCTTATCGCCCCATCTATCATGCCGTTCTCATTTTTCACGTTTTTTTTTGTGCTCTCCCCTCCACCCCTGGCTGCCTTTTTATGTGGCTTTTTATCACCGCGCAGCTCGGCGAAAAGTGCGTGTAATCAAACGCACTCCGGCGTCATCCCAACAAAGACATGGGCAACTGTTGCCAAGGGAACGGCGGCCCACAAAGCGGCCAACGGCGCCCCCGGCTCGCCGCTGAATAGCCCTCTCGCCAATAACAGGCCGCTCGGCGGCCCGGGCGGTGCCCGCTCCATGTTTGCCGATGGGGTCCGCCGGCCTCGGGCAGCATCCCGCCGACTTAATTGGGTCACTCACCAGGGCGATTTACGAGCAAACTTTGAATGGATGTCCCGTGCCCTTTGTGTTGTAAAATGGTCTCATCTCGCCTCGCTGAGACGGCTGTCACGGGTTTTACACGAGACGAATAGCGAAGCGCCGGTGAAAGCTGTTAGAAAAGAAAGCAGAATATGCACCAACTGAGATTATCGCCAATGAAAGGAACTGTCCCTACCGTAAGTTTTTTAGGTTATAGTAGCTGGGCTAGTCGTTTAGGCTTCGATAGCTGCCTCAAAATTGAAATGTCCATTGCCCATGGCCCAGGCTGCGCACAGACTTAGCCAAAAAGTGAGCGTACCACTGACTCAAGCAGCTCTATCTCTGTTATTGATCTAAAAAGTCCGTGTCTCCTCTTTTATTGAGGTATCTTATCAACCTCTCCCCCTCTGCCTGCCTCTGGCTGTCTGTCTGCCTGTGTTGTCAGTATTGGTCTCTGTCTCTGCATCTCCTCTCTTTCCGTCTTTTTCTCTCTCTTGCTCAATCAATTCATATATTTACCTCGCGATCCTGTTTCTCACATTTGCTTCAACGTGTTTTCGTTTCTGTATGTATCATTTCCTTACCGTCATCTGCAATGTTTCCTTTTTCCCTTATCACCCTTTTGCACCATCTAATGTTCCTCTTTATATCTTCCTTCATCGCTCTCTGCATCTGTTCTATTCACTTATTTACTTTTCTCTCTGCCACCCTCCTTTGTTCTCTCTCTTCCCGCTGTCCTTATCTTATAAGGGGACATAAGCAAATACACATTGCTCAGGCCTACTGCGACAGGGTATGGCTTCTGCAAACAATTGCTGACGGAAAGCTCCGTGCCTCGGTGAGTTGACCTTCACCTATTGCGCAGCAAACTTAGCCGCGCGACAGCTGCGGCCCACCCGGGGCGTTCGGCACC